CTCTCTCTCTCTCTCTCTCTCTCTCTCTCTCTCTGAATTCAATTTTGATTTCATTATTAAAATCCAAATATGAAAACGAAAGATAGGAAATCATAATCAAATGATAAGCATCTGAACCATTCATTAATCATTAATATCTGTTATAATGTTATAAATGCTTTACATTCAAAAACTCAAGGCTTTAAATGGCATTAAAATTCAATTCAATACTAAAAACAAGCGATTTTTAATGATTTTAATACACAATACACCAAATACTGCACGCATTAGTGCAAAAACAAACAAAACAAAAACCATAATGGTTTGAAAAATTGAAAAAACTTATGTATCCTATTGTCTGCTCACAGAGTGTCTGAATACCTGATGGGAGACATCGATCTCTCATCGATGCCGACATACAAATCGACGGATAACCTGATGGCAGAGCCGTCGTCGCCGTCGGAGTCTCTGTCGCCCAACGATATCGACGACCGGTTCCTGGCGTTGCCGGAGGGCATCGATCTGGCCCTCCATCGGGCGAAGGTCTGGTCCAAGTATACGAAGGATGTGATCGCCTATATTGAAAAGAGGGCTCAGATGGACGCCGAGCACTCCCGCACTCTCATCAAACACGCCATACAAATGAAGGCTATCCTCAAAGAAGAGGTATTTCTAGTGATAATTGATGTTTTTTGAGTGTATTTTTAACTTTTTGTTACTTTTGTTTGCAGTCTTTCTTACCGTTTCAATCGATATACAGTACGGCTGTAGAGCAGGACATAGAGAACGGTAACTCATGTTTGGCCACATGTAGTCTACTGTTGGGCCACAAGTTTGTGGAGCCGATGACCGCCCGTCGGGCCGATCACGAGAAGACCCGCAAACAGATCAAAGAGATGTGGACTCGAGAGCTGAAGCGAATGCACGAAGCGGTCAATAATCTGCGCAAATCGCGGGCACTGTATGTCACGCGACAGCAGGAGCTCGAGAAGGCCCGCACCGGACTCAGGACAAGGTCTGTGTCCACGTATGTGTCCACTCATATACACTATACATGTATCTTATAATTAGTTTATTGAGAAAAAGTATTAAAAACAGGAAATTGAATAAACAAATAGATTAGCGATTATCGCAAATACCAAACTTATCGCTACAGAGAAAAAACATATCAAACTATTTATGATTACAATTTCAATGACAGCAAAAATGATTAAAACACTTGATTTGATTGCCAAACAGTGAATCGGGCGCCGACTGGTCGGTGGAGAAGATCGATAAAAAACGTCGGGCCGAAGAGGAGGCCGGGGTTCGGGCCCGAGAGGCGGAACTGCACTACAAGAGTTGCGTACAGGAGGCCAACTACAGGGCCGCACAGCTCCAGACCGTGAAGAAAGACCTGTTGGTTAGGATACGGGAACTGTTGTCCGCGTGCGAGACCACCATCAAGACGGCCACCTGTTCCTACTTCCAGTTGTGTCACGTGGTGTCCGCTCCCCTACCCGTGCAGTTGCAGTCGCTGTCGGAGTCTGTCCGCAACTACGACCCCGGATCGGCTTATATGGAGTTTGTTAAACGACTGCCCGAACCGCAGGCCAACCAAACGAAGTTCACTTTCCAGCCCCACATCACCACTGATCACGACTCCAGCGAAAGCGACTCCAACTCCTCCTCACCGGCGGCCAGTCCTCCCACCAGAGGTCCCACCAGTGGTCTCATGTCATCCGGCGATGAGTTGGAAACCGATCACGACTTTAATAGTAAGCAATCGTTTAGTGTTTTTTGGTTTGGTTTTGTTGTTTTCAATGAATGAATGTATGATTTATTAATTGTGTTTTGTTTTAAAGTTTTTTAAAAACTTATCGTTGAATGAAATCTGAAGAGAAAATTATTTTTCAATTTATTTTCTTTGAAAACTTCATCCGTAAACCAAATAACGTGTAATTTTACAAAAACCTGTGCCTAATCTGAGGCTTGAAATTTAATTTGCTTTCCCTTTAAGACTAATCCCAGATTAGATATGAATAGTTGTTTTCATCCACAAAACTGTATTTTACAGCGAAATGCAATTTTAACTTAAAAATACATTTCAAATAAATTTAAAATTCAATTAATTATTAAAAGTCAAGAAATGTTCGCAAAATTATAATGAAATATAGATTTTTACACATGTTTTTAGTGCCAAAAAAGAAAAATTTTCTCGACTTTTTGGCGAAAACTTTCCGTGAATGTTATTTCTTTGTAAAACTCTCTCTCTCTCTCTCTCTCTCTCTCTCTCTCT